CAAAACTTACATTATGCACCTAAGTATTCAGTTAGGAAGACTGATATTTTGGTGACCAATAACTTTTCTACCCATAGTTAGAAATAAAGACCAAAGTATAGATCACAAATAATCAAATTATCATTATAGTCAGTAAAATATTCTTAACTCTCAATATTAATGGATTAATTCTCCAATTATTAATGGACTTAATTCTCCAATTAAATGACACAGAATGTCTAGTTGCATCAAAAAGCAAGATTCTTCTATCTGCTACCTTGAATAGATATACCTTACTCACAAAACAAACATTCTGAAAGTGAAAGGCTAGCACAAAATCTACCAAACAAATGCCCCCATTAACAAGCGGGAGTTGCAATCCTAGTATCATATAAGATAGACTTCAAGTTAAAATTAGTGAGAAATGATAAACAAGGACATTACATACTAATAAAGAGATCTCTCCTACAGGAAAATATAACAATTCTAAATATGTATTCACCAAATAATGGAGCACCCAAATCTATCCAAGAAACAGAATATTCCCTAAAATCTCACATAGCTCCAAAGACATCAATTGTTGGTGACTTTAACACACCACTCTCCCCTCTGGATAGATTAAGCCAGCAAAAACTCAATAGAAGAAGCTCAAATCTAAACAACTGTATAAACTAACTAGACTTAACAGCCATCCACAGAATATTTCACTCAGCAGCATTAGAATACACATTCTTCTCAGCAGCACACAGAACATCCCCAAAATAGACCACATTTTAGGTTACAAAGCAAATCTGTCCAAATTAAGAAACTTTGAAGTTATTCCTTGCGTTCTCTCATACCACAATAGAATAAGATTAGAAGTCAACACCAAAAATTACCACACATGGAGACTAAACAACACAGTGTTGTACCACCAATGGGTCATGGAAGAGATTAGAAAGGAAATTCAAACATTCATGATATTTACCAAAAATGAACATACAAATTACCAGCCCCTCTGGGACACAGCAAAGGCAGTACTCGGAGGAAAATTTATAGCTCTGCGTTTCTTCATCAACAAATTGAAGGTATCGCAAACCAATAATTTAATGATGTACCTGTAGCTCCTTGAAAAAGAGCAACAAGCCAAATCTCAATTCAGTAAGTGGAAAGAAATAATTAAAATTAAATCAGAATGAAAAGAATTAGAAAAAAAACATGGATAAAGTCAACAAAACAGTTTGTTCTTTGAAAAAATTAACAAAATTGATAGGCCCTTAGTAAATCTTATCCAAAAAAAGAGATAACACACCAAAATAAATAAATTTAGAGATGAGAATGGAAACATCACCACAGAAACAATTAAGATTCAGAACGTTATAAAGGAATATTTTTCAAAACTTTTTGCTAACAAATTTAAGAATTTGGAAAAATGGAAGAATTTCTGGCAAATATTGATATGCTCAAACTAAACCAAGAAGATTTAAACCAACTAAAGTGACCCATATCACATATCAAAATAGAAGCAGCAATAAAAGGCCTCCTATCCAAGAAAGCCCAGAACCAGATGGATAAATAGCTGAATTCTACAAAGACTTCAAAGAGGAACTCACACCAAAAATCCTATAAGCCTTCAATCAAATTGAAAATGAACTTTCACTACCAAATTCTATGAAGGCAAACTCTATGAGCAAACCCTCATTCCAAATCAGAGGGCCTCATCAAAGAAAGAGAAGTATAAATCCATTTCTTTGATGAACATTGATGCAAACTCAATTAAATTCTGGCCAATTGATTTCACCAATTCATAAAAAAGTCATGTACTATGATCAAACAGGATTTATTTCAGGAATGAAAAGCTGGTTCAATATATACAAGTTAATTAATGTAATTCATCATATCAACAAGAGCAAGGATAAGAACCACGTGATCATCTTAATAAATGAAGAAAAAGCATTTGACAAGATCCAACACCTTTTTATGATGAAACCTTGGGAGAAACTAGGAATCCTTGGAACATTCCTCAGTATAATAAAGGCTGTGTATGACAAAACTACAGAAAATATTATACTTAATGACAAAAAGCAAAATCTATTTCCTCTAAATTCAGGAACAAGACAAGGATGTCCATTCTCTCCACTCCTCTTCAATATAGTATCAGAATGCCTAGCTCGAGCAATAGGCTAAGATGCAAATATAATGAGAACCAAATAGGAAAAGATGAGGTAAAACTCTTCCTCTTCGTAGATGACATGATATTGTATTTAAAGAACCCCATGAATTCTACTCTTAAGTTACTTGAGCTGATCCAAAACTTTGGCAGAGTAGCAAAATATAAAATTAACCCTCAAAAATCAATGTTTTCCTGTATGCCAATAATGAGAATAGTGCAGATGAAATCAGGAAAGCCACTATCTTTGTAAAAAATTACCTAGGAATTAACCAAACTGAAGTACCTCTATGATGAAAATCTGAAAAAGGAAATTAAAGCAGAACTAAGGAAGTGGAAAACCTGCCATGCTCCTGGATTGGGAGGATTAATGGTGAAAATGACAATACTGCCAAAGACTAACTAAAATTTCAATACAGTACCCATCAATATCCCAACCTCATTCTTTAATGAAATAAAAGAAGCAATCCAAAATTTCATATGGAATAATAAAAGACCCTGAATAGCAAAAACAATCCTTAGCAGAAAAACCAGTGGTGGAGTAATATTGACACCAAACTTCAAACTCTTATACAAAGCCATAATAATCAAAACAGCTTGGTACTGGCACAAGAACAGACCTGAGAACCAATGGAATAGAAGATGCAGGGGGAGGGAAGAGATGGTAGGGGAAAAACAGAGGAGGAGGTAACAATGCTCAATAGCAAATGTACTCATTACCTTACTCAGGTAACTATAACCTCTCTGTACACTATTTTTACAATAAAAACTATAAAAAATGAAATGAAATCCCAGAAATAAGCCTGCAGACCTATAGCTATTTAATCTTCAATAATGGAGTCATTCTCTCTCTCTCTCTCTCTCTCTATAACACACACACACACACACACACACACACACTCACACACACACACACACACACACACACACACACTGAAATTTTATTCTTCCAAAAGAATGACACCACTCATTTGTAAAGAAAAAGAAAGACTTGGGAAAAATCTTATTAAGTGAAGTAAGCCAGACCCGAGGAAACATAGGCCCCATAGTTTCCCTTATTTGCAATATTTGGTATAGATCTAGCATAATCTTAGCAGATGAGCAGAATATCTCAATAGCTGTGTACATATGACTGTGTAAGATGATGCTAAGAGAAATGAAGTCCACGAGCTTTTTCTTTGTTGTTGGTTTTGATGTACTATGTGATTTTTTGTCTCTTTTGTATGTTTTTTCCCCTATGCTATATCCCCTGTTGTTACTGTATTTGATTTTGGTACCCTGGTATTGTGTATAAGTTTATTTGACTTAGGGAAGGGAAGGGGAACAACGGAATGGGGAGACAAAGGACAAGAGATGAACTACTGGAACAATGATATTCACAAGACAATGTTGGGGGACAATCTGTACAACTTGAGGAGGAGTTGAGGGAGAGGGAATGTAGAATAAAATGAAGGAATAGGTAACAAGTTTGACAAGAAATGCACTTATTTCCTTATTTATGTAACTGTAACCCTTCGGACATTATCTTGAAAATAAAAAGTTTAAAAAAAAACAAAATATAGATGACATGTAAAGAATCAAATTATCATTATAGTCAGTAAAGCAACAAAATCTGCCCTTTTCAGAATTAAGTCAGACAATGAGTGGTCATTATACATAAACACACACACACACACACACACACACACACACACACACAGAAATTGTTACTGTAAAGGTGATGTGCTCAGGGGGTTATAGTTACACAAATCAATGAATGTGTTCATTTCTTTTTTATGAGTTCTCTTTTATTTTCAGGAAAAGAATAAAAGCTACTTATTCGGAGAAATTAATAAGTTTTTACTATAAGAAAGCAAGAGTGCTAAATGTTGCTTCAGTTTCCCTAAAAATCACAGGGCATTTTCAGAGAGTAGTTAAAAAATTTCAGGCAGACCCAACCAATGTAGCACAGGGGACTTTCAACTAGCATTCAAAATTGAGGCAAAACCATGATTTTCTTAATTATTAATTATTATTATTATTTCTTAATAATAATAATTTTTATTATTGGAAAAAATACATTTTATATCTGGGCAATGCCTATATAGGTAATGCCTATAGTGGCTCATGCCTATAATCCTAGCTTCTTAGGAGGGTGAGATCTGAGAATCATGGTTCAAAGCCAGCCCAGACTAGAAAACCTGTGACTCTTCAATGAATGCTTAGAAAAATGGAAGTGGCACTGTGGGTCAAATGGGTATAGCTCTTGATTTGAGTGAAAAAGCTCAAGGACAGTGGCCAGTACCAGAGTTCAAACCCCATGAATGACAAATTGAAAAAACTTTAACAAAGAAAAATACAGCTTAGATTTAATTTCTTTTAGTATTTTTATTTTACTTTGCAAAACATTTAATTTCCTTGGAGTTTGATAACATGTACATAGTTATTTTATATGTAATTAAATACGTCAGATAATTTGCCTTAGTAACCATTTTCTATTTGATTTTATTAGGTTATTTGTGACATAGATTTAATATGATTAATATTTGTTGAATTGTAAACACATCCATTATGAATTTTGTGCAACATTATTTTTAGTCTGATCATTTGTTAACTTCTGTTCACTGAAACCTTTCAAAAATAAAAAAGAAATATTAATAGTATTCTAACTTGAAGATCAATTTTCACACACATATATCAAATCATTAAATTGTGTTTCATAGATAATTAAAATATATTCTTGCATAATAAAGTAATAATGAAAACTATTGTAAGAATTTCTATACAATGTCTTTTAAGAACTAACTTTAACACACACTGAACAATAACCATTACTCCAAAACATTATCATTTCGTGTTTTAAATGTATCTCAGAAAAATCTCAGGGTAAATTCTACCTATGTATCAATGCTTTCTGAATAAATTTTTTAAATATAACTTTCCCCATAGCTTGCTTTATCTGTTTGTTCCTAAGACTGTAAATGATGGGATTCAAAAAAGGTGGAATAATGGTATAAAATACAGATAGAATCATGTTCTGAATTATTTCAGTGCTTGGTGAGGGTCTTAGGTAAACCACAGAACCTGTACTAAGAAAAACAGACACCACGAGAATGTGAGGCACACAGGTGGAAAAGGCCTTTCCTCCTCGCTCTTCTTTGACTGGAAACTTCAGCACTGTTAAAAATATGCGAACATATGACAGCACAATGAAGGTAAAGCAGCCACCGCCGAATCCCATGACAGAAAAAAGAAGTAAGAGTTGGCTACTTAAAGTGTCTGAGCAGGAGAGCCTTAGCAGAGAGGGGATGTCACAGAAGAACTGATTGACCACGTTGGACTGGCAGAAGAACAGCCGGAATGTATTACCAGTTTGTACAGCTGCAAAGATGGTACCGCTGATTAGGGACGCCATTGTAGTCTGGACACAGAATTGGTGATTTATGATGACAGGGTAGTGGAGGGGCTGGCAGATGGCCACATAGCGGTCCTGGGCCATGATGGTGAGAAACATCAGCTCCACAGATGCACAAAAAAATACAAAAAATACCTGCATTGCACAGCCACCTACAGAAATAGTCCTGTTGTTTGTGAAAGAGTTGATACAGGCATTGGGGACAGTGACAGAAATGTAGCACATATCCACCATGGATAGATTCCTGAGGAAGAAGTACATGGGTGTGTGTAGATTCTGATCAATGGTGGTGACAGTGATGATAATAAAATTCCCCAATAGGGTGGCCAGGTATATCAGTAGGAACAATATGGAAAGCAGGACCCTGAGCTCCCACACCTCAGCAAAGCCCTGCAGGAGAAACTTGCTCACTGTGCTGAAATTGGCCATACTCTTCGAATGCACATTCATCTGGAAATTAAAGCAATGGAGGAGAGTCGAAATATTGATTAAAATGATTCTGAGCCAGACATCAGTTGTTCACTCCTGTAATCTTAGATACTCATGAATCTGAGATCTGAAGATTGAAGTTGAAATCCAGTTATTTTAAGAACTTATTTATAAGCTTTGAAAATAAACTAGAAACTCAAAAGTAATTATACTTTTATAACTCTAGCAAATTTTCTTCTTTGAAAAGCCTAAATTTTTATCATTTAAAACCTTTAAATTCATTAACATTGTTATTGTTATTCTCCATTACTCGAAGACCATGATTTGGGTATGTGAGTTTTCTCCAGAAAAATACTAACAGAGCCACACTAATAAGTGCTTGTTTAAATAACTGGATAATAAATTCAATTCAAGTTGACACATAAAACTAGACATGACGATGTTCATGAACTGTTGTTAAGCTTTATTCGAAGTTGAGTTATAAATGTGGTCAATGTTAATGTTGTTAAATGCCCTATACCTGTTCCTTTGCCTGTTGACTGATTCGTCATGATGATTAAGTATCTGGAAAATTTTACTTGTGTAGACTAGATATATTCATTTATTTTATGAATTCAACGATTTTTCTACAAAATTTCTGTTTAAGAGAATTGAATTTTTAGAAGATGTTGAGTATGTTTTGTTATTAATATCCCTTTCACTCAAGAATAACCAGAGAAGTTTACAGGGTAGATCAGTTTAATCAGAAAATGTATCTATTGTAGGATGTGATATGGCCTTTCTAAGGATGACACCACATCTTGCCAGCTCCCAAATGGCATACTTTTATTACTTAATTGCAAGAGTCCTGTGGCCTTCAACCGTTGCATTGTTTTAAGCATAAAGGGACAAGTCAATAGAGGGAATCTATGCAGCACAGGTGCTTCAAAAGTCATCTGAGGAACTGCAGTTTTTTAACAAAGGGCCCTTGAAGCACCAATATACTACAAATGTTAGAGAATGCCACAACTACATAATTGGATTGGGGCCTGTCTTAAATACCTTCCCATCGACTGATGGAAATCTTTTGGACCAGGCATAAGACTATGACAAGATAGTCATCTTTATTAAAAAATATTGATCCAGATTGATTACAAATGAAGGAACATTGGATATAAATCTGTGCACAAGAGTCCTAAAGGAAACTTGGAATATCACTCTAACAGCAGCAGAAGGCATCCATTCTTACAGCACAGAGAGCAGAATTCAGTATCCTATGATGTCACAAAATGTAGTAACAACTTTAAGAAGATTCACATCGTACTCCATTACTTTTTAAGTTACAAGAGCATTAATTAGAAATCAATGACAAAAAAAATTTAAATGTTTACAAATATGTGGAAGCCAACATATACCTTAATAGGGGTGGAGTGTCTTGTATTTATTCTTCTATTTACTTATTCAATTTATTTATTCTTCTATATAACATAATGTATATGAACATAATGTATCTTGATCGGTGTCACTCTTTCAATATTACACCAATCCCTCCCAATCCCCTTCCATCACTTGTTTTAATATTGTGGAATATATATTAATTTTATTGACTATATTCTTGCCCTTTCTTCTCTTTTTCTCCCCATAATCCCTTGATGAGACCCCATCTCTGTCATGTTTACTTGTTTTTTTGTTGTTATTATTGTTGAACTTTGGTTTTGACTTTCTAAGGAATCATTACTTGAGTTTTCCTTTAAATCAACTTTTTTCAGTTAACATATTTGTATGCACTTACATACCACCCAATGTATTTTCTTATATGTTTACAAATAAATCCTAGCTTCCACCTATGAGGGAAACCTTGCAAGCTCTATTTGTGCCTGGATTTAGTGAATGATTTTTAATTGCCATTATGAATATAGAAAGAAAAGATAGAAACATTGGGACAAAAGACATATCAAAATTATTGAAACCAATTCTTTATTGAATAAATACTGTCATGAACAAATGCCTACATTGTAGAATGAAGATTCTAAATAAAACAACTGGATTTTATACATAAAAGAACAAAAAACAGTAAAAATAATTACATCTAAAATTAAGAGTTATGAAGAATTAATAAGAGTTAGGTCAAAAAGTTACATGTATGAGTAGAATCCATAGAAATTTTAAGATTTAGATTTCTGAAAATATTTGAAAAGTTATCAAAAAATCTTAGGTAGACTAAATATAAATAAATAATTCATTGTTAACATAAATAATATTTATAGACAATATAAATGCTACCACAGAACTAAGAGGGTCATAATGGCCTTATATTAACAATTGCAAGCCAACAAAATTAATATGTTGAATGCAGCAGTTCTTAGAACTATGCTAGTTATTAAACTGAATCAAAAAATTAGGAATTCAGAAAAGACTAATAAAAAATAAATAGCTGAGGTGGTAACTAAAACGTTCACACTAAGAACATCCTAGGATCACACTGTTTATGTGTAAATTCCAAAAAAATAGTAGGATGAATACCAGTAAAATTTATTCAATAAAAGAAATATGAAAAAATACTAACAAACTGGGGTTAGTGACATTAGCAACATAGGTCACAATACCACAACAAAATAAAAAACAGGCCAAACTATTTTAGACACATGGATACAACATTCTAAGTAATAATTTAGTTTCTGAAATCTTCCACTTAATACACTAGTTAATATTTTTTAAATACTCATGACTTCACTTATATTTTACATGTGTATATATTAAATGTATAAATATAATTTAGATCTAACTTCTACTCTTTTGAAAAAACATGCATCCTTATTATGTATGAGCATGATTTAACTTTAAAAATGACATAATTTCACATCTATCTATCTATCTTTCTATCTATCTATCTAATTTCTGGATCTATTCACCCACTGAAGGGCATGTGGTGTGGACCCATCACATGGTTGTGATGAATAAAGTTTTGGATAAGTGAACGATAGGGGTATTGTTGTATCATAGGGTAGAAATAGATAGGAGAGGGTTCATAAATGATTGTTCTTTGAAAAACTTTTTTAGTTGAACAAAATGACTATGTTATCAGGTGTGATGAGGTCAGGAGGAAGGGTAGGGGAACACAGCGTAAATATTCAGTGTACATATGTGAACTTTGAACTAAGTAAACCCAGAGGATGGGTGGGGTTGGGAGAGATGGGAGAGAATAATAACAATGGATGACATTGATGAAGATGTACAATATTAACATGTGGAATTGAAACCAAAGTTTCATAACAACATAAAGACAATTAAAATAACTTATTAAAAATTCTGAACAAATATTTGCTTTCCATATACTTCAGAGATTCAAAGCACCAAAATATATAAGTAAGTAAAATTTATCCTTAGCTAGGTATATTGTTCATAATAATCAAATCAAGCAATATACATCACTACATTAATATCAGAAAGAGAATAAACTCAGTTGGAAGCATTAATATACAGGTAATGTCAATTCCATTTTAAAATCTGTTCACAATTGGGCTAAAGACTTAAAGAGAAACTTCTCTGAAGGAGAAAGAAGGATGGCCAATAGACACATGAAGAAATGCTCAACCTCCCTAGCCATAAAAGAAATGCAAATCAAAACAACATTAAGATACCACCTCACTCCA